AAGGTTAAATAATCCTTCATAAGAATAAAGAAAAATAAAGACCTATAGTAGATTTTAAATATTCCATACTTTATAACTTAGAACAATATATTATTAAACAACTAGAAAACATCGATTGCTCCAGTTTTAATGTAAAAAATGCTGACGACGTTATCAAAAATATACAGAAATTAAAAAAAGGAAAAAAACAGATAAATTAATAAGCCTCGACATTAAAAATATGTACCCAAATATAAAGTGGAAACTAATAGAAATTAACCTCCTTCAACTTAAAGTAGACAAATCGTTAATAGATTATACAAGGAATTATTTTAAGGTTTATGGTGAATTTTACAGACAGATAGACGGCATTAGCATGGGGTCAAATATGGGGCCAAAATTAGCAGAATTAGTCATGAAAACCATTGATGAGAAAATAAATAATATTTTCTCATCAATGGTTTTCATGACTAAAGGGAGTGGTGATATTCGAAATATTTAACAAAGGGTTCGCTAACAGAAAAGTTTTCCTTAAACACCTTAAACCCCATGTCCGAGATATATCGGGCAAGTTACATAGCGTTACATAAAACTCGGGCGTTTGGATCCACTAAAAAGTTTTGGTTTTTTTTGGATTTTTGGAATGTTTTTTAAGTCTCCAAATTTTTTCAAAAATTTTTTCCCGCGCGAAAAAATTTATCGCGATTTTAATTTACCTTTAATGACGCACGATTTACGCTTAATTGCTTTTTAATTGTTTTTTAAATGGAGTTTGATATCAAATTTCATTCATCGTTCTAAAGTTGTAGTGCACGGATTTTCCTTCGGTAAAGTTATTTAAAGCTAGTTTCTGATGTCAAAAACGACCTCCGATAGTTTTTAAATTTTTTTAATTAATAGATTTTATTATATATAAGTTTAATTAAGTCGGGGGGTCGGAAATCGCAATAAAAATTTTAATTTTTTAAAAATATACGGCCAGCTAGTATTCACCCTACTATAAACCCATCGCCTCCCGAGACTTCTATGAGAATGTCCCGGGAAATCCAACTCCAGCTGTGTTCAAGGTCATCCAGCTGTTTAAACAATGACTCATCAGCGTCAGATTTCACAGAAAGACAAGACAAAGGAAAATAAAATCTGAAGCTTTTTCTTCAGAATTAACGCATTTCTTTCGTTTTTTCAGTTTTAAGTATTTTTTATGTTTAATTACATTAATATCAAAAATTGCTAGAGTCCCAAGGAGTTAACTGCTTTCCCTATGACTTTTTCTCAAGAAAAAACTTTTCTAAATCATTTATTTTATCATTAGGTATTATTATAATAATAGACAGATGTCATCGTTTCTCGAAATACAATATCTTTTTTATTTCGCTGTCGATAGCCCGACACGTGTTCCGCAGCCATGTTGTATTTTCTCGCGCACGTGGGATTGTGGGATCCCTCGTATGACTGGACTTAATTTCAAGAACTCTCTTGAGTCAATTGCGATTAAGGCTGCGCACACACTAGGCGTTTTTAAACGCCTAGTGTGTACGTGCGTTTTAAAGAACCAAGAGTTCTACATAGGCGTACATACTCAAACCCGCGCTTTTGGCCAAGCACGCGTTAAACACGCGTTTATAGATTTTTCTTAAAACGCGCGTTTTTCGGGCGCTTTAGTAGAACTCTTGGTTCTTTAAAACGCGCGTTTAAAAACGCCTAGTGTGTATGCAGCCTAAATCTCGTTTCAGTCGAGACTGAAACGGTCGATGGAGGTTATATGCGAACGGCATACAAGGGGAACGTAGCGAACGGGGTATAAGACTCTAGTTTAGTAGTGTTACAGAGTATAATACGTATATTTTAATATATTTTTTAAAAGAAACAAAACCGCTGAGAAATGTTACGTGTGTTTAACAACGGGTTCGGAAAACTTTGAAAATGTTAACAACGGGTTCGGCCGAACCTGTGCGAACCCGCTGAATATCACCACTGACTAAAGGTGATTGTTATGAGATACACTGATATATAATGATAGAATAATAGATAACAAAATTATCTTTAACACCATAAACAATATAGATAAAGATATATAATTTGATATAGAAAAAGAAAAAATAATTATAAACAAATGAATTATTTAGATTTAACGATAAGAAATGACTTAGAAAAATACACCTTCTTAACATATAAAACGCCATGCAACGTTAATAAAACAATTAATTATCACTCTTACATTCCGGATACCATAAAAAAGAATAATTATATTATGGACCTAAAGAACATATACATAAGAACATCTGATAATATTAACCGTGAAATTAAATTAAAAGAACTAGAAGCAAAGTTTATCCTTAATGACTACCCCATAAACAAATTAAATACTTGGCGTACACAATATAGCAGAAATAGATATAACAAAATATAAAATAGATAAAAAATACAAAGCCTTCCCACATGTTAGAAATATTTTTGATAATTGTAATAAATCCTTAAAAAGGATAAGATTGTTTTGGCCCCGTCTTTGACCAATAAAATTTCACATAATATTTATCGTAGTACTAGAAAAAAAATGTAATGATATTATAGATAACCTTAAAAAAACAGATGTTGTGCATAAGATACAATGTAAACATCAAATTCCAAAAGAGTATATAGGTGAAACAAGCCGAACATTGAAATCAAGAGTAAAAGAACATGAAGCAGCTATTAGATTGGGATACAGCAGTTACATGGGTTTACTCATACAAAGGATAATGGTTGTCAAATTGACAGAGACAATAAAAAATTTTACACTCAGAAACCCGAAATACATTTGGAATGTAATCCAATTTTTAAAAAAAATAAAGATGTTTCTAATCGTGATGCTGTGAGATAATCTATCGAACAAAAGTTTGGATTAAAGAGACGTTCATTGAATAGAATTACTTTAATGCTTATATCTTTAATATTTTACTTAAAGGAAACACTTATCTTACTTCTTTCGCAATTCCATCCGCACCATCCACATGGACAATCACAGGAATATGCTCTGTATTCGGTAGTAGTTAAGTCTGTGTTTATACATTGGCCGTGTTTACACGGAGAATTTACGCAGTCGATCTAAAAAGTAAATAATAATAATAATATATCAGAAATCAGAAATTAATTTGATCCGAAAGTTGACTTTTTAACAGACATAAAAAAATATAGAAACATTAAATTATTTGATAGAGCTAACTTGGTATTAAGGGTAAGATTTCTTTTATCATTCCTCTTCCCTTCAAATTCTAACGTAGATTTGAATATTTTCAAATATATATATATATAACGTTTTTTTCTAGATTTTGACTAAATCGGCGACCTCACAAATCACTAGTTTTTATTACACAAAATTAATATAAAAATCTGTTCTTGTAATTTCTTCCCAGATCGAAATAAGCATAGAAAGAGGAATACAACCTTACATAATTTGAAGAGAAATTGGAGAGGCCGAAGTTTTCATCTGTAAAACGTAAACGTCGAACGTCGAGCGCCGCTATCTTGTTAGCGGTGCTCGACGTTCGACGTTCACGTTTTACAGATGAAACCTTCGGCCGCAACCTCGCTAATAATAATGTTTACGATTGTATTTCATAGGTGAAGGGATCAAATATAAAGGGAATTATATACATCTAATAATTAGTGTTGCAACGAATATTCGGTATTCGGCCTCAGACCGAATACCGAATATTCGACCAGGAGCGTGGCCGAATAGCCGAATATTCTGCCAAACTATTCGGCTTGATTAACGTACGAAAATTGGCGCGCAAACCGCATTATGGCAAGGACCCCGCTCTCTATTGGCCCGCTGTCACTACGCTTCGCCAATCGCGTTAATTCTTGACAGTTGNAAATTGGCGCGCAAACCGCATTATGGCAAGGACCCCGCTCTCTATTGGCCCGCTGTCACTACGCTTCGCCAATCGCGTTAATTCTTGACAGTTCAGATAAGAGCGTCATGGCAGTATGTGATAAATGATGATATCAAATGTGGATAACAATGAAATGACCTACTCGTGTAAATAACGGAAAAGGAACAGAGAAGGACCGTGAAAATGTGAAAATAAATATGAAATTCAGTTGATAACATAATCGAACAAGTCGAGGCAGCTTATTGGCACGAAATTCGCAGCCGTCAATGCCAAACAATTGTTATCATAGACTTCGGAAAGCTAAATGATTGTAATGAAAAGCACTTAGCGGGCACGGGTGAAAGCCTGGGGTCGTTCGGGCTACCAAGCTGTCTCGAATCTGTGAAATCATAACTGTGACTTAATTTGACGTCCTATCTGTCTCTTTTCTCTTTTATCACCAGGCTATGAGTCACGTTATTGTAAAATGGGAAATCTACGACGGAAAAGTGACAAATCGAAAGTATCATGAGCACGTATAATGATGTATGCATAGGCATATGTGAACTAGAGCGATAGAGGAAAGAGAAAGGGAAGAACAAAGACGAGCACTTAAGAAGGATAGGCAGGGTCAGACCCTCAGATGTGTGACGATTCTCAAACGAATAGGTGTGTACGTGTGCTGATCCTTGTAATCACAAATTGTGAATACATGTGACTAATATTATTTTCTTTTTTATTTTGTGCATGTTATAAGTTATAAACAAATATAAACAAACAACACTAACCCGATAACATTAAATCTAATTACCAAAATGATTAATTTACTGTGTTTTTGTTATTTCTTACTCCTGTTTTTAGGTATTCGGTATTCGGCCGAATAGTAACCGAATATTCGTTACATCACTACTAATAATTGGAGTTAACTAAACAGTGAAAATAAACCTCGAGTTAAATATTTGTGGCACTCACTTACTAGATTTTATAAATTCTGTTATAAAATGTAAAGTATTACAGAAGAGTTTATGTGACAAATGAAGAATCCTATATGAGATATTGTCGATCTTACTTGTTAAATGTCTTTAGTCGATTTATTCTTTGGTTGATAGAGTCTCGTTATATGGATAAAATACGAACGAGAAAATATTCTGACAATTAATTATGCTATTTTAGAATGAATTAAATATTAAAATGGCGTTTGTCGGAAGAAGAACGATCACGCAATGTAAATTAATAATCACTTCTGTTAAAGTGAGATTTTTCTATAAGCAAATAATTTTTCCAGAAGTCAAATAAATCATATATAAAGGTCACAAGATAATATAGACCGACGAAAGAGTTAGATTATGTTTATATTAATTAATAAAACTTTGAAACTTTGTTTTATAAACCCGCTAAACATAAATATGAATTTAAATAATAATAATTCAAATTGGTTAATTCTATTATATTTTATCATATTTATACAAAACTACAGAAACAAAATATACTGATAAACGTCAACTTTAAATATATGAAAAGATAATCAAATTGTAATTATAATTTTGATCATTATACAGGTATACCTCTCCTTACGTCAGTAATTGGTTCCAGGAGAGACGACGTAAGTCGAATTTACTTGTCTCCGATTCTACTTATCACTAGGCTAAACCATAAATTACCATTCCCGGTTGTGTATTTTATTTATTAATGTATTTTTAATAATATACGGTTAATAAGGATCTATTTTAAGCTTACAAACAAATAAATTTTAGTTTTTAATATAGTACAAAAAAAGTAATCTAAATTTACGAATGCATGTACTGTACTGTAAATACAGTACATACTTGTAAATGTATATATTTTAATATGATTTTATGTGCTTTAAACGCTTTTCTAGTGATATTACGACTTCAATATTTGTGGCGGAC